AAATATTCAGTTGGAAGCAAAGATATTTATTACTTAAGCAAATATTTAAAGAGCTCCTCATTCTTCATAACTCTAATATGGTGCATAGGGATCTTCATCCTAAAAATATTCTTTCTGATCAAGAAAGATGGTTTCTTAGTGACTTCGGACTTTGTGGGCCTATAGATAAAAATCAGACCAATATCTGTGGACGTCTTGTTTATATTGCTCCGGAAGTTCTTAAAGGTCAATGTTATACGATAAGTCAGATATATATAGCATGGGTATAATTATGTGGCAACTTGCAACTTGGAAAGCCTCATTTGGATCTATTGACCAATCTGAATCTACTTCTGCTAAAATTAGAATTCTGGGGGCCATCGTCCACCTAAACTAAGAGGAATACATTCTTCGTATAATGATATAATGAAAAAATGCTGGGATGATAATCCTGAACAACGGCCAGATGCGAAAGAATTATTTAATCATTTTGATAAGATGCTTGAACAAATTGGTAATGGTAATATTATAAAAATCAAATGTTTATTTCTTTTTACGCCCAATAAACTAATAGTTAATAATGTGCTAAAAGATTTTGAAGGTAAAATTAAATTGTAATTTTTAAACAATATGATTTTATTAATAATATATGTATTAAAATTATTAGATTCTTCAAGTATTCATGTACAAATTTTGGATGATGATGATGGTAAATATTTCTATCTTTCTTTTAGTAGTATTATTGTTGTATTAGTAATGTTCTAGTAAAATGGTTATTATAGATATAATCAAACATTCAAACGGAATCGACGATTCTGAAGTATTACAACTTATATCAAATAAAAATATTTCACAAAAACATTTAAAAAAAATTAAGGGTATATATTTTTGTATTTTAATTAGTAACATTATTCTAATGAATTGACTTTTTTATATGACAAATAATGAAAAAAAAACATAGAAAAATGTGATAATTCATTTGCATTAGAATTTTTGCAATATATATCAAGCAATATTTCGAATAAAAATTTAAAAAAGATTGAAGGTAAATATTTTTGTATTTTATTTAGTAATATGATTTTATAATAAATTGTTTTTATTTACAAAATTTAGACACCGATAATTTATTTATACCCGGATTATTGCAAAATATATCAAATATTTCACGAAAAATTTCAGGAAATATTAGAGGTAAGTGTTTCTGTATTTAGTTTAGTAATAAGTAATTCTTTAATATGACAAATAGTATTACTGTAGACATTTAGGGTAGATATTATTTATTATAATATTATTTGTTAAAGTATAAATTCTTTTAAATGTGTGATAAATTAAAATGTTGGATAATTTGCTAATATATTTTTGAATGTTAACGTTGCATAGACCCTTTAAATCTTAAAAATGGTAATTACGTATTATTATCAATCTATATTATCAATTTATATTATCAAATATTTATATTAACACATTTCAAAATATAAAAGTGGGAGATTTTGATAAATATATCTTTAATATAGATACTTATTATGATTTAAATCAATACAGAGAATACCTTACAGATTTTGAAGTCATATCAAGAATTAACAAAGTTGATGTATCAGCACTTATAAAGCGTAGCGAAGCTTATAGAATGCTGGGCCAATATGGTAATTCACTTATAGATTTAAATGCTGTGTTAAAAATCGACTCAAATAATGAGTTAGCACTTAAAAGTCGTGCGGAAATTTATAGAAGATTACACCGGTTTGAAGAATCACTTTCTGACCTGAATAAGTTATTGAAAATTAACGAAGATGACGTGTTACCATTAGTAATTCGTGGAACTGTTTACTTTGCATTAGGTAAACATGAAAAATCGCTCGCAGATTTAGACAAATCACTAAAAATTGATCCAAATAATCTACTTGCACTTATATCTCGCGGTGCAATTTACAATGAATTATGTAATTATGATAACGCACTTGTAGATTTTAATGAGGCATTAAAGATTAATCCAAATTATGTAGTAGCGCTTTTAAATCGTGGGGATATCATCTATCAATTAAATAGATATAAGGATTCATTAAAAGATTTTGAAAAGGCGCTGGAAATTGAACCAAAAAATATGGCTGCCCTTGCTATGTGTGGAGTTATTTACGCAATACTTGGTCAGTATAAAGAATCACTTATAAATTTGAATAAAGCACTAGAAATCAAATCAGATGGTGCATCTTTGTATATATTTCGCAGTTGTACCAATAAAGGATTAGGTAGATATGAAGATTCTCTTGCAGATTTAAACAAGGCCTTAGAAATCGAACCAAATAATTTACACGCAATTTTTAAACGTGGACTTATTTATAATCAACTTCGTTTGTTTAAAGAAGCGTTATTAGACTTAAGTACCTTTCTGGAAACTAATCCAAATAATGTTGAAGCAATCAGCAATCGTGCAGAAAGTTATAGAATGATTGGTCTACTTAAAGAATCACTTATAGATTTAAATAAGGCGTTAGAGATTTCTCCAGATGACATATTTGCACTAGGTAGTCGCGGAGATACTTATAGAATGATGGGTCGATATAAAGAGTCTCTTGTAGACTTTAATAGAGTATTAGAACTTAAGTCGGATGATGCATTTGCACTTGGTAGCCGTGGTGATCTTTACAAAAAGTTAGGCCTATACAAAATGGCGATAACAGATTTTAATAGAGCACTAAATATTATGCCACATGATGCATTTGTACTTAGAAGTCGTGGTCAAACTTATTTAATTTTGGGTTTATATGCAAACGCGCTAGTAGATTTAAATAAATCATTAGAGTTATGAAGAATGAGGAGCTCTTTAAATATTTGCTTAAGTAATAAATATCTTTGCTTCCAACTGAATATTT